CTACGACTTAATATGATTCTACATCCGTTTGTTGTTTTTGACTCTATAACCAACACATGTTCTCCTTTATACACCATACTTGTAAGCAAAGCGACTTCATCTTCCAAAAAAATAATTTTTTTATATTTTACAACAGGATCGAGAACGTGTGACAAAACATGGCCCATGACTGAATAAATTCGTTTCAAGAAGTCTGATGAAATTTTTACATACCGTGACGGTGTAATTATTTGCAAAACGATATTGAACTGATCTTTTGGATCGAATCCGATGTTCAAGAATTTACGATTTTTAAAGTCTATTGTAAAATTAGAGCAATCCATGAGTTCATGTGGAGATGTAGGTGCAACATAATTGTATACCCGTTTCATTTCACTTATTGGTCCTGCCATATTTATAAGCAATATACTGAGACTTACAACTTGACGCTGTTAAATCAAAACTGAGACTGAATATTCACACGATAGAGTATTAATTGTTAAACCATGTATGTAGTGGGGGTTTATGTATAATGTGTTTGGTAGTGGGGATTAGGTAAATAATGTGTTCAGCATTTACATGTATATATATATATATATATATAATAATAAAGGTAGTGTGTTGCACAATTATATGCGGATACCCTGTTATACATGTGCACTCGTATTATTATTTGTTAACAGTAATGTGATAAGTGATATCAGTTTAGGGCAGAACTGCTCGCGGTTATATATGATAACGCATAGTAGCACACGTGCGCGATCGGGCTTTTGACGGTGGTGGTGGTGGTGAAGTAGGGGGGAGGCGGTGTCGGTAGCGGGCTATCTATGGCTGGGTGGTGAAGTGGGGAGGTGGCGGCGGCGGCGGTAGGGATTTTTGAATGAATGAATAGTCGCTATTCATTACTGTCCGCAGTTGGTGATATAGTGCTCTATTATATACATCTCGTTCGCTCTGCGCTAATACTACGCACGTAATTATTATATAACGTATTAAAGAATGTAGTACAATCGATCAGATTAGCTGGCGGCGATGGTGGTGAATATTTGTAAGTTTTCTTGTAAATATTTTCCATATTTTCAATTGGACCAGCCATATTTATTTTACGCACTGAGAAATAATTATGATTTTAACACTGAATATGAGACAAGCACACGCGAAACACTTGGAACGATTATATAGAGTGACTGAATTTATGTTGTGTAGTTGTGTTCATAAACGAGCAAAAATATACCAGTAGATTATTTTGTGTTAAAGTCACTGTGATAACGCACCGGAGGGCTCGCGCGCGCGTTCGCGGCGGCTCTTGGTATGGTATAGTGGTGGGGGAAATTATTTTATGTTGTGTAGTTGCGTTCATAAACGAACAAATTAAATATTAATTGGTGGGGGAGACATCGAAAAGTCCCTACAGGTTAATCGGGAGGGGGTAAATGGTATAGTGGTGGGGGAAATTATACATCGCGCATAGACGTCGGTTAAATGAGATAGAATATACCTTCTCAAACAGATGCAAGTAGGCGGCCCAGTGGTACGGTTGTCGCTTATCATGCAAGTTAACCGGGTTCGAATCACGGTCCGGCGGATAAATTTTTAAATTATTTTCCACGCACGGCGGCAATGTCGAGCGGTGGTCATAGGTGGTGGGGTGGCGGGGGTACATCGTTAACGTGTGTGATATATGGTGGGTTCAGCAGCCGTCAATGTATAGGGATGAGCAGACGGTATAGTGGGATGAGCAGACAGGTATAGTGGGATGAGCAGATGGGTATAGTGGGATGAGCAGACGGGTATAGTGCCATGAGCAGACGGTGTAATGGGATGAGCATACGGGTATAGGGATGAGCCAGCAGAATGAGCTGTTTGAACTCTCTTTCTCTACCTACTTACATAACCTAACAAAATCGCCATTTCTCACTCTTAACTGCCTTCTCACTCATACTTAAAAGACCGCGACCACTTGCGTTGTATGATTTAACATGGCCTATCCATTCTTCTATTATCTATGGTTTCAGCAGACGAGTGACGACCAGCAAGATAGTATATAGATTAATAGGTACTTGCTGACGACTCGACGACTGTGATAGTTTAGTGAATTCGTGATCTAGCTCGATGGTATTATATTATTATGCTGAAAACTCGGAACAATAATAAAATACAATAAGCAATCTGGTGATTAATTCATTACCCGTGGCAACAATTAAGGTCGGTGGCAAATCATATGCTCTTAATTCTGTGATTTGCCATCATGGTCCATCTATGACTCAAGTCTCTAGCCCATTATACATCAGTTATTAAACATAATAAAAAAAAGGGTTAGATGTAACGATATAATATTTATGTTATAGTTTAAGAAAAAAAAAACTAAAATAGAAAAAGAGATATTATAACAACAGGAGGCTAACGATGCATATGCTATTATGGATTATTATTATTATATACAGTCAAATAAAATCAAGTATTTCATAAAAAAATAGCTGATATCACACCAAAAACCCTTCGTTATCTAATTGTAAAAAAAAAAAAATTTTTATGATTAAATCTTTAAAAGACCTGATATAATATGGAAATTAAGTAAAATGACATTTTTTAATATCAAAAATACCTATGATGACAAATAAGATCAATTGTCATGTTAAATACTTAGTCAACATATTGTTGATACATTATTAATTACTGCAAATACTGTAGTGATTACTTAGTTATATTTATTTAAGTATACTTTTATAAGTCCTGCGAAATATAGTTAAACATAATATTATGTTGACTAAGTATTTAACATTACAATTGATCTTATTTGTCATCATAGGTATTTGTAATATTATAAAATGTCATTTTACTTAATTTCCATATTATATCACATCTTTTAAAGATTTAATCATAACAAAAAATTTTTTTTTAACTTAGCTTTTTTTTTTACAAGGAGTCATAACGAAGTGTTTTTGGTGTGATATATTATACTGCGTATTGAATTTTATAAGCAATTAAAACTTTGAATAAATTATTATAAATTATTTATCAAACAGATAACGATATAACATATTAATAATATACTCAGATCACGATGAATATTAATTACCATTATTTTATAAGTTACAACATTACGATAACATTAACATTTAAAGTATGAATAGAGAACCTATAGTCAGTCTTGGGTAGTCTTCCGAATACTTTTAGAATACTATTTCCAAAAGTATTTTGTGATGTATTCTGAATCCTTTTGAAACTATTCTGAATACTTTTATAGTATGAAAATTCAATTGTTTGATTTGTATGTTATTCCCTTGCATTTGATTTAAAACAAAAATACAAAATTTATATTTTATGAGTAGGAAATTTATGATCAAAAATATGTATAGGCAATAACTATAAATATTACCATATTTCTAAAAAGAAATTAATGTTTTGCGATTTTTTAGTTATTTTGCTTAAAAATAGTGTTTTGAACCATTTTTGATTGATCCATTTTTATTATATGCTTTAGTTTCTCATCCTCATTTTAAAACTGACTGGCTTAATAATGAAGACACAAATGATAGAGCTTTATCATTTTTTAAACAAACGTGTTTGGGAATGTTTGAACGACACAATATCTCAGAATCTGAATTTTCAGAGAGTGATATTGATACAAATAATTTTTTCAATTGGTCCAAAACCAAATCAAAATTATCTCTTCCATTAGGAGTGCTGCTGTAGAACATGCTTTTAGTTATGACAGTGCTGTGTTGACTACAAAAGGGGAAAACTGAGTGATAAAAACTTTGAGAACAAATTAATGTTAAAATGTAACAAACATATGTGCCTAATGTGTAATTATTATAATGAGTAATGTTTTATTTAAAGAAATAATTTTTACATTCCTAATTTAGTGTTGATTTTAAATTTGATTTTGTCTCTCTTAATAAAAGCTGATACCTATAAATTGGTAATTCTAAAAAATAATCTAGTATCTTCGATTGTAAATTAGTTATAAATTATAATATATATTTAATTATTAATTGAAGGGCTCAGTGCAATAACCAGACAAGTCCACTTTTTGAAATTGTTCAGTAGACGAAAAAAACTGTATATTATTTAAACTAAGTGATGAAAAATGGTTCTAAGTCTTTGAAAATGTTTTACATGTACATAGGATTAAAATTGTACTAAATATTTATCTTCCATTTCATGCACTCAAAACAAAAAAAAAAATCCAAAGTTTCCAAAACATGGACTTACCTGTGTTTTTGACCATAATTTATAATCAAAAAATATGTTTTAGCCTTTTCAAGTAAATTAAACTTAACAATTTTTTTTAAAAGTTTATACTTTTGTTAGAGAGACCATTGATGTATTACATTGTATATCAGTCATAAAGAATAAATGAAATTATAATCATCAATTTATAAAAAGTTTTCAAAACATGGACTTACCTATGTTTTTGATCATAATACATAAGGTTATCATATATTTATTATTTACAGTGTTACCAAATGTTCAGTGCAACAAAGAGGTAAGTCCGGACTTGCCTGGGTTTTGCACAGAAATTAAGAAACAAGACAAGTCCAAATCAATGTTATTTCCGATTATATTGAACGGACTTACCAGCTGGTTCTTGAAGCTAAATGAGTGGAATTTTTCGCTTTATTTGAAATAGTTAATAACTCAAATTCCAAAAAAAGTGGACTTGTCTGGTTATTGCACTGAGCCCTTCAATTATCACAGTGACATAATAAGCACACACAATATATTTTTATTGTATTAATAAAAAAAAATATTTTTAAGTATTCCGAATACTTTTACAGTATTACAAATACTTTATTCGGAATATTATATTTATCTAGTATTCGAATTTCGAGTATTTATGCCCAATACTTTTCAAAAGTTTTTACCCAAGACTGCCTATAATAACAATTATTGATATACTGATATATAATGCTACAATAATGAATAAATTATAATAGATAATATTTAGGACTTCGGTCTTCGAAATGTCCAGCATTATAACTAAATGAGCATAGACCAATATACAAACATTTATTTCATTTTCTTGGTCTCTTTATATTGACCAACCAATGGGAAGGGCCCTTATTTTGAAATTTTTTAAGGATATTTCTGAAAATACAAAACCAAATTACTCCGATTATGGTACACACAGCCATTTCTACGTAATACCCGTTCACTATAACAACACAATCACCATCCAATGTTTTACACATCTGTAATCAAAAAACAAAAATAAAAAATAAAGTAATTTTTGAATATTTTTCTTATTCTTCTGATCAATGTCTACCCTGCAACAACTACGTGCTCGCATCTCTAATATAGTAATATACAGTCGTGCTCAAATTAAAATTTGAAATTTAAACATAATAATCACTTGTTATTGCTTGTATATATTTACCAACTTATTAAAATTGAATTTCTTACGTTTTTTAGATTTGGTGTAGAGCAATTATTCTTGTCATCTAAAGAACATTGTATAAACGTTAGGAAATCTATCATTCCAATAGCGACCGAAGACGTCCAAGATGCTCCCAAATTATAAAATGTAGTCAACAATGTCATGTAAGTACCACCAAAACGTGTATCACTTATTCGAGAGAAAAAAGCTAATGAAGATATCGTCATAATTTGGTTTAGAATCTATACAAATGAAATCACAAAGTTATTAATATATTTTAATTTTTCATTGTATTATCATAATACGTTTTTCTTGAAATAATTTTCTTGAAATGTATCACAACAATATTTGATTTGAAATTGTGGTCATTTGAATCACCTATTAATTGATAAATAGTTATTACTCACACCATGTATTGATAATATAAATAATAAAAGTCCATAGTAATATATTGGAATATTAACAAATCCATTCTTGTTTATCAATTTCGGTGTATAATAAAGAAACGCAAAAATTGAAACGTTCCAAAGCAATCTAAAATTATATTTAAAACATTGAATTCAAATATTATTATAGTTTAAATGTATTTTATTATATTTAATTTGCATGCAGTATGGCAGTGGCATCATTTGAGGTATAGCAAGGTATGCTTATGAGTAAGTAAAATGCATCAAGATTGTATTTTGGCCTTACTAGTTTTTCTACGATGGACAAATAATCATTTTTTTAAAATTGGTCTTTAGTATATTGGCTACTAAATGGCCATGTGATATTGTTATAAATGTATTATTTATATAAAATAAAAAAAAAAAATATTGGTTTGTAATTTGTATTAAATATTTCACATGTGACTAAGGATTTCAGGATTTATTTACAATAGTTTTATTTTACTTATCTATCTTATTATTTTATACTATATTATATTACCTATTTTTTTTTTTATAATATATATATATATTGTGGATTGGACATTTGTCTATATTCATAATAAATAAATAAACAAAAAATAAATAGACAACTGCTTAACATCAAATTTAAATTCAATAATAAATCATGCCATTAAAAAAATCAATATTTTAAAAAATCGTCAATAAATTGTAAAAAACGTTTTAATATACCTTTTTCTATAATATATAATATAGAATTACATTTAAACAGTTGATTCAAAAACTATTGGGAAATTCTAAATGTTTAATTTATTGCTCTAATAATATAATCTAAAATTATATTATGTTGTTTATTACATGTAGGTAACATTCAAACTTATTGCCTTATTACTTTGTAATTAGGAAATTATTAATGTAGGTTTCTCTACCTGATTGGTGTTGATGTTAGGTATACGGTTATCGGTTTTGGACCAGAAGTGTACTTCGCTACAGCAAGTGGCGAAATCATTTTTACAACTAAAATTGTTGTTTTTATAGCCATAATGGTTTCTTTAGGTACTCCTGCGTCCATGAGTTTTAAAATCGATACACCATCTGTTGCAGCAAATCCAATCTTTAATAATATAAACAATACACATTGTTACTGATGGATAAATTAAAAAAATTACTTACAATTTGACTAAATATAGATTTCATACAATGTTTAAAATTATCATTCTAACAGAACTTTAATTAAAGTTCCAATACATTTTGGTATATGTAATTATACTAGTTTGTAAAACTTAAAATAAATTTATATGATAATAATATTATATATAGGTACTCAAATTCTGATTTTGAAATTCCTCTTTATCAATTTCAATTATAACAGAAGATATTCAAGTGTGAGAAAAAATATAGGCGAGCAACCTCAAATCACCCTTTATATACGTATGGAAATTAGTTAATATAGAACCAACGTGAGTGGAATATTTCAAAATCCATGGTTTCATTGTTTAAATAAAAATTTAAAACTAATCAGTTTATGCAATAATAATGCTTTGATTAGGTACCTATCTAAAGGTATATTAATTACCTTCGCTGTCACCATTGATATGACTAACAATTGAATACTAGGTAGTTTTAAAATGTCCCATAGTAGCGAATAGTTTTGAACAATGTTGAGTTTTACGCAGTCTTCCTCTAATCTGTTATCTTTTTCTTTTTTAAAAATTGCAATCAATGTGGTTATTTATACAAAAAGAATACCCAAGACATAGAAAAAACCTGCACAAATTATGAATTAGTGATTTTTTTAGATCTACATTATTTTATTTTTATTAACCACTTAAGTTCTAAAAAATTGTGTTTTACTCGCTTACATTTCATGGTGAACACTCCTCCCACATCTGCACTAAATCGTAAGTACTTGTTGCTAAAGTCTTCCGTTGTCAACAAGACGGAACACAAATAACTTATCATCATGCCCATCACTATACCGATTGCATAACATGTAGATGCATAGCCTACGTTATTCCTGTGTGATATCAAAATGCATTACAGGTATTATTTATTATGACTTATATTATAGCTATTCGAAATAATAAAATAGTTAACAGTAACACTGACTTCTTGAGCATTGTCAGTGCCCAACTGTCGACGACTATAAATTGCGTGGCTGCCAACATTTTTGTTACGAAAAATACGGATGACAATTTTAGTATGTCTGGTTTACCCGTTTCCGGCAACCATTCGTCGATATTGCCAGCCATATAAATGAAACATGCTCCTGTACGACACAAAGGTTTTAAATACGGATAATGCAATCCTCTACCAAATACGATCATACTATATATTAAAATTTAAAATACATTAAAGGTTTTTTTTTTAAATATATCATGCTATAACATTCGGTTGTAAATATTTATGGTTTGTTAACTGTTAACTCCTAAGTTATCAATTTTATGTTTTCTTAACTGAATTACATACTTGAGTTAATCATTTTTATTAACTTGACAACCTTTGCAAATCATAACCCAATCTAACGACATACAGTAACTTTCTCGTTTGAATAAACGTGCGTTACGGAGACATGTTTTATATTAATATACTCACCAATTGAATATTGAACAGGTATGAGCCATGATTTTCGTCTTCCTATCTTTTGCACATACAGCGAGTCTACCAAAGGGGCCCATATCAGTTTTAAGCTATACGGCCATTCAACTAAACTGAATAGAGCCTGGAACAAAATACGACCACCAGACCACGTTTATGTTAAAAATAACAGTGAAATTCACAATTTCTTAGATTTGGATACAAGTCAATATTAAACATTTATATTATACAATACTAATCGGACAGGTACGCAATTTTTGATGTTGAATCTGATATTTACTTGATCTTTGTAAGTCACATTTTTATTGCTTTGCAAAATTATTGGCATTGCCATTGCTAAACCAAATAGTATGCCTTGCATCGCATACAGCAGCAACAACAGTAGTAAATTCAACCAATCTCCTTTCAAATTTGGCTTCTCGGCAGAATTTGAATCATTAACTACTGCCAATGTTGTGAGGTTTTCTAGTTCTTCTTCTAGCTGCGGGACCGTCATTTTTACTGCGTAGTCTTCACTATTCACATTAGACGCATAAAGCACATACACTAAAAAATAATAACAATTTAGGTAAACCGACCACTGTAGTGTTTGTACCTAGACTGAAGTAAGACTGTAAAAGCGAACAAACGGGTTATACCTAAAATATTCAAAATGTTTATCGATGATACACGGAAATTACAATATTATGTTAATAAAGAAGTTATATATACAATTATACATATGAGATGGGTAGTGGATATAATTTATTAAATGTATAAAAATTGCATAAGAACTATGACTTTCAATAACTATTAACCATTATTATTTTGGGTTACATAGTCTCTATATAACGAATTATTTATTTCTTTTATTGTAAATTATTGTTATATCAGTAGGTCGATTTTACATATTGACAAGCCTGGGAGTGTTAATGATAATTTTGAACTGAGTTAAGTACAGTTAAGTTAATGGAAAACAATTTAAAAAGTTTAAAGTTAACAGATAACCTAATTTTTTTTTAACTCAGTTAAGTTAAAAGTTATATGAACATTTTCAATTAACTATTAACTTAACTTAAGTTAAGTTATTTATTTATTTTTTTTTTTTTTTATAATATCTATATAAATACTCAGTAATTAGGTTTAAAATAATAAAAATCATAAATATTTTTGAACAAAGGAAATAGCCAATAGCGTTTCTTTTCTATACATAGGTACTGAATTAATAGAATTATGTAGTAGGTATGAAAAGCATACAAAATTGAAAATACTGAAACAAATACAATCTTTTGATTTATTAATACAGATAAGTATTATACATATTACACAGACCAAGTCTCCAATTAGTGTAGACTGGATGTATTAAGAGAATTAAAAATTAAAAATTCTTTTTATTAATCTATTAATTCTAGTAATTATTAATTATTATTATGCCCGTACAGTTTTGGTATGGTATATATTTATATATACAATACACCTAGGTGGCTAGGTATATGTTATAATATAATTGGATATTACTATATCTATGTGTATTTAATTGAGTTATTTTTCTTGAAGAATTCTGGTTAAGGGGACAAGAAATTAATTTAACTATATTTGTAAATCCCTATTATAGTAAATGGTTATGTTATATCAATAATCATTTTTATTTTTATTATATTTATTATTTAATTATTTATAAATTAACTGAACTTGAATTTGATTAAAAGTAATGCGTTATTTATTAAGTTTATATCAATTAAAATAAGTTAAGTTAAACATTAAGTAAATGAAAATCAAATTTTTAAAAGTTAAAATTAAATTAACTTTTAACTTTTTAACACGTTTATACCCAGGCTTGCAGATTGATTTCTTATAATGTAAACTGAAATTCGGTTAGAAATTAACTGAACTGGTAATAGCTACATTAACAAATTTAATATTTTTTTTTTCTTGAGTCCAAATTGATTGTTTTTCAGATATTATATTATATCCACGATTTGGATTGTTCTTGATTAAATAGGACAACTTTTTTTTTATGTATAAACATCTATGCTATCGGTTTGTAGTACGACCTTCTTGGGGAATCGAGCGTTAGGCGTAAGTCATGTAGATGTGACTGCTTGAGTGTGTGTGTGTGTGTGTGTGTGTGTGTCGTCGCCATAGCGCTAAAATCACAGAACCAATAAACCAGGCGAGTTGCTTATCTATTATTTCCTTAGTTATTTTCACGAGTCTGGTAGGTGTGAACGCGCTCTGGTACAGTCGTCGGCCGATTCATTATTATAATTAATATTATTTATTATTCTCGTTTAACGCGCTAAACCATGTTTGTATCGTATAATATGTATTATACAAATTCCCACTCAAACCATGACATTATATTCCCCAATCAAAGTCGTACTACAGCTAAGATGTTTACACATCATTCGTGAGTACAAAGACACTCACATTTTCGTATACAATGATATGATATCATTGAATTCAAATTTAAAACAACCCATTATACAGTTACCAACTTGTAACCTACTGTGCAGCAGAGCGACATCCACTTACCCGCTTTTTATTTTTACACAGTTTTATATATTTTGAAAATAATTTATATAATTGCATAATTAGATTTTTGAAAATCTTTAGGTATTTATCTAATGAACAACTATAACTATTGGGTTCTTTGTCGAATTGTCCTAAATTTAATATCTAATCTTCACTTGGTGTACGAAATATTATATAAGTAAAAAAATATCCATTCAGCGTTCCAACCACCGGTTATTCGTTTTTAAAAATTTTTATTTAACCAGTTTATATAGGGTGGCCATACGCTCCGTTTTATATGGGAAGGTTCCGTATTTAAAGTCTGTCCCAGTCCCTCCACAAAAGCTTTCGGGAAGCTTAATTGTCCGTTTTTTAAAATCTATGAACATTTTTCATATTTATATAAATATGTGCAGACAATTACAACCACAGTATTAAGCGACAAAGATGCATCTACTTCTACCAGGTTCACTTGTTCCTATTTGATTAGGTATGTAAATATATTTACTTTAGCTGTCAACAATGCTAATGCCAATATTTGAATACAAGGTAGTTTTAATATTTTCCATAGTAGCGAATAGTTTTGAACAATGTTGAGTTTTACGTGGCCTTCCTTCCTCTAATCTATTATCTTTTTCAAAAACTGCAATTAATGTAGTTATTAATATAAAAAGTATACCCGAAACACAGAATAAACCTGTACAAATTAAGAATTAGTAAATATTTTATATTTTGACAGTAATTTATTTTTGTTTATTTTTGTATTTTCGATTATAAGCAGATTCATTATCTACCAAAATGGATTTTACTCTATTACTTTTCATAGTCAATATTCCTCTCACATCTGGATTAATCCGTAAGTGCTTGTTACTGAAGTTTTCCGACATCAACAAGACGGAAATCAAATAACTCATCATCATGCCCATCACTATACCGGTTGAATTGCATGTAGATGCATAGCCTACGTTATTCCTGTGTGATATCAAAATGTAACACAGCTATTATTTATAATGTTTTACCTATTCGATATAATACAAATAATAACACCAACTTCTTGAGCATTGTCAGTGCCCAATCGTCGACGACTATGTGTAGCGTGGAGGCCAAGAAGTTCGTGAAGAAAAATACGGATATCAATTTTAGTATGTCCGGCTTGGTGCTTAGCACCCCAAAATTTTTGATAGCATCATCGAAATTTTATTGACTATAAAATTATGCCATAGGTATTTGGATACAATTATTTCTAAGACACCAATATTATGTTTTCTTAACTGAACTACACACTTGAGTTAATCATTTTTATTAACTTGACAACCTTTGCAAATCATAACCCAATCTAACGACATACAGTAACTTTCTCGTTTGAATAAACGTGCGTTACGGAGACATGTTTTATATTAATATACTCACCAATTGAATATTGAACAGGTATGAGCCATGATTTTCGTCTTCCTATCTTTTGCACATACAGCGAGTCTACCAAAGGGGCCCATATCAGTTTTAAGCTATACGGCCATTCAACTAAACTGAATAGAGTCTGGAACAAAATAATAATGAATAATGATACATAAGTATCAGAATAATAATGTAGGTAAAAACTAAAAGTGTATTTATTTGTATTAAGATTAATGAGAAGGTGTATAAAATAAAGTTGTATGAATGGAAGGGGATGTGTGGGGCAAACCCTCATTTATTTCGATATAAATCTAGCACCCTCATAAGTTCAACCCAAATTGCGCCTATGAGATTGAACAAACTCGTAATACACAAAAATTAAAAATATTCCACAATACCAATATTAGTATGTAAATAAGGTGAATATATTTACGTATAAAAAGAAAAATTTTTACGGATTCTTAACTCAAAATAATTTTCTAATTTTCGTGATTTTTCCATATTTTGTCAATTTTTGAACTTTAAATGCTTATAAAAATTTATAAACCAGCAAATAAAATTTTTTTGATATTTTTAGAAAATAAACTAAAAAAAAATTTTAAATGTAAATGTCCCTAAACAGTTCAAAATAAATCAAAATATTTTGAAAATGTTATCGTATATAGAAAATTAAAATATAACCAACCAGTGAAAATGTCATGTATCTACTGTCATTTGTTTCAAAGTTACACCAAAAACCAAATTCAATTTTGCTTAAAATTCCCGTTTTTCCTTAATTTTTCTTTTGTTTTCCTTGGCGCTTTTGAAAATGACTGTGTATTTTAAATTTTGACCACCCCAATGCGCCAACGATATTCATTTTCCAATCGAACAAGATACTGAAGTTGGAAATCGAAGCATTATTTCGACTAGTTATCATGTACACACACAAAAATTTAAAATTTAAAAATTTAAAAAATCACACATCTTTGTTAAAACAATACATTCATCGTTTCACTCAGAATCTAAAATAATTCAAATCAAGACTAAGCATTTATTTACACTTCAACTCATTTACTACGTAAAATAGTAAAAAAAATATCTATTTTCTATATACATATACATACCTAATTAACTATACTTTTCAGGGTAAGTGAAAATGAAATTACCCTTATTGACCAAATCAGTATGTTTATACAACAAAATACCAAATCCACTCATAATATAATATATGTTATTATTATTAGAAGGTATGTGGATAAAATGGTCTGTATTTTTTTTTAGAAACTTTGTATGTTTACATGTATTTTTTTCAATAAATTAATTATGTTGACACTATTTATACGTATTTCGGGGTTTATTGAAAATGCCATGAATTTGTCCTGTACAATATTGATCTTGTTAGAAGACTACGGGGAGATATGAACCATTAGCTTAGGAAGTTAAAAAGTGCGCCAATGGTGAATTTATGAGGGGTAGATACCTCTCATTCTTGTTAGACGAAGGCCACTAAAGTTTAATGCTTTGACTTATTATAATAAGTAAATCCATGTAATAAAAATGTAATTCAGGGTAAACCATATTTTTATAAAACACAAAATCACATGTTTCTATTTACTTATAATTTAT